CAGTGCTAGACCGGGCTTTGGAGAATTCAGGCTGGGCTTTGGAGATGCCAGCCCAGGCTCTGGAGTTGCCAGCCCAGGCTCTGGAGATGCCAGCCCAGGCTCTGGAGTTGCCAGCCCAGGCTCTGGAGATGCCAGCCCAGGCTCTGGAGTTGCCAGCCCAGGCTGTGGAGATGCCAGCCCAGGCTTTGGAGATGCCAGCCCAGGCTCTGGAGTTGCCAGCCCAGGCTCTGGAGATGCCAGCCCAGGCTGTGGAGATGCCAGCCCAGGCTCTGGAGATGCCAGCCCAGTGGCGCCCTGTCACACACACACACACAGGTGACACCAGCTTTCTTTGTGATTTTATCTCAACTCCCCGGACAGCAGAGCCCTGGGCCAGCCCTGGAATGTTCTGGAATGTCCTTGACACAAAAATCCTGGCAGGCACAGAGGGGGCAGGGCCAGGCCCCGGAGCAGAGCTTGGCCAAGTCCTGGAATAGAGTTAGGCTGAGTCCTTGGACTGGAGCTTGGCTGAGCCCTGGGATTAGAGCTGGGCTTATTCCCTGGATCTGAGCCCAGGATCAGAGCTGGGCTTATTCCCTGGATCTGAGCTTGGTCAAACACTGGGACCAGAGCTGGGCCATTCCCCAGATCTGAGCTCAAGCAGGCCCTGGGACCAGATTTGGACCAATTCCCAGAAGCCAAACCCGGTGAAGCTCTGGGATCAGTTTGGGGCTGTTCCCATCCCCAATCCCAGTCGTAGGCTCAGTTTTGGGTTGTTCCCCATCCCCAGGCCCAGCCTAGGCTCAGATTTGGAGCGTTCCCATCTGAAGCCCATCCCCAGGCTCAGATTTGGAGCGTTCCCATCTGAAGCCCATCCCCAGGCTCAGATTTGGAGCGTTCCCATCCCAAGCCCAGCCCTGGGCTCAGATTTGGGGCTGTTCCCCAGCCTAGGCTCAGATTTGGGGTTGTTCCCCATCCCAAGCCCAGCCCTAGGCTCAGTTTGGGGCTGCTCCCCAGCCCCGGGCCCAGCTCAGGCCGACAGGTCGCTGTTGTCGAACCTCTCCTGGTCGTAGACCTCGGCCACCACCTTCCTGCCGGCGAACCAGCGGCCGTTGAGCGCCTGGATGGCTTTGTGGGTCTCGGAGGCCATGGAGAACTCCACGAAGATCTTGACGATGATCTCGGCGTCCTCCTCCTCGCCCTGCTTCTCCTGGTAGATGATCACTCTGTTCACGGCCCCGAACTTGCCACACTCCTCCGTCACCTCCCCCTCCAGGTCATCGTCGATGTCCTTGGGGTCCACCATGTTCCGCAGCACCATCACCGTGGACTGCCAGGGGTGGTCATTAAAGAGTAATTAAAGGGTAATTAATGAGTGACAGGACACAGCCAGGCACCCCAATCCCTGTTCCGCAGCACCATCACCGTGGACTGCCAGGGGTGGTCATTAAAGAGTAATTAAAGGGTAATTAATGAGTGACAGGACACAGCCAGGCATCCCAATCCCTGTTCTGCAGCACCATCACCGTGGACTGCCAGGGGCGGAAATTAAACGGTCATTAAATGGTAATTAAATGTTAATTAATGCGAGGGGACATAGCTGAGCACCCCAATCCCTGGGCTGGCTGTTCCAGGCACGCTCCATGGGACTGAGCCCCTCGAGCTCAGAGGTGGTTCCTGAGCCCCCTGAGCTGCAGAGCCACACCTGTCCCTCACCTGTCCCACACCTGTCTCACCTGTCCCACACCTGTCCCACCTGTCCCACACCCGTCCCTCACCTCTCACACCCGTCCCTCACCGGTCACACACCTGTCTCACCTGTCCCACACCTGTCCCACCTGTCTCACCTCCTGCTTGCGCAGCAGTTTCTGCATGACCATGTGGCGGGCACTACTGCCCGAGATGCTCATGTGCTCCTGCCTGTCCCTCACCTGTCCCACACCTGTCCCACCTGTCCCTCACCTGTCCCACAACTGTCACACCTGTCCCACCTGTCTCACCTCCTGCTTGCGCAGCAGTTTCTGCATGACCATGTGGCGGGCGCTGCTGCCCGAGATGCTCATGTGCTCCTG